CCTTAAGACCTTCCCACCGCTCCGAGATAAATGCATCCGCGATCCTGGTCCTGTCCAACCTTTCTATTTGTTACCGATAATGAATAAATTTACCACTAATTGATGGTTCTGTTCACCCTATCAATGGAAAAGGTGTGCATGTGCGCGAGGCAAAGTGTCAAGGAAAGAGAATGGAAGACAGCGAGGGAAGAGGGTGATAGTGGGGATTAGAACTTCCCTTTGATAGGGAAACTAAATGCCACTCACGGGTTCTGAATTGCACCCGACTGGTCGTTGCGCTATTCATTTTCTCAATAGAAAAGCCTATTCAAAAAAAAAAAAAAAAAAAAAAGACAAGAACTAGTAGAATAGCGTTGGGCCAACCGCTCGCCTAAATGATTTATCTGCAGATCGGCTCATTGCCCTTATCATTCGAAAACTATCATGTCTGCTAACATGGACTATTGTCGATCAAGGATCATTTGAAAACCAATCAGAACTCCCATTTCTGTGTGTCTTTCTTTCTCCTAGTCTGCTTTTATTCGTATACTTGTGAAATGAGTAGGAAGAGGGAATCATCAAGGGAGACTGAGACAGTGCGCTATTAGATCTTCCTATTGATAGGGCGTCTCAGCACCAACCGTGGATTCTGAGTTTTCATCCGGTTGGCGTTGCGCTGTTCATCCTATCAATTGAAATACCTATTAAAAAAAAAGAAAAAAAAAAGGGGGGGGGGGATGATGAGTGTACATATGCGCAAGGCAAAAGGGCAAGGAAAGAGAGTGAAAGACAACAAGGGAGAAGGTGATAGTGGAGATTAGAACTTCCCTTTGATAAGGAATCTCAACATCAACCACGAGTTCTGAATTTCACCCGACTGGTCGATGCGTTACTCATCCTGTCAAAATAGAGGCCTATTATTAAAAAAAAAAAAAAAAAAAAAAAAGAGACGAGAACGGGCAGCATTGTGCAAGGCGAGTCGCACGAGTAAATGATTTATCTACAGACCGGCTCATAGCCCTTTCGAAAACTCTTGTGTCTGCTAGCTTGGACTATTGTCAATCAAGGATCAAAACCTGTCACCAAGAACATTTCAACCACCAATATTCTGCGTAATTATATGTGCGCAAAAAAAAAATAAAAAAATGATGAGAACAGAGTCTCCCGTAGCTAGTATAAATTAAGACCAGTCTCGGCTGGTTAGATGCTCACCCTATTGATGGTTATCTTTCTTCATTCTCACGCATCTATCTATTGTGCAATGTTTAATGGGGGAACAAGTAATCACTCCAGCGGATCATTTCGTCTTCC